TCGCGTGTACAGTACAAACACTCTCCATTGCCGCGCACGGCTGCGCATACGCAGACGTACCCTTGTATCGGCAGCAAGTAGTAGCATTTTTCAGGCACTTCACTTTATTATTAAATTAAGAATGTTCCACTATTTTCAGATTTAAATTCCACGCGTGTGTGTTTTTCAATAATTTTGTAAATCAACTGAGAAATTTGTGGACCTTTTGTTTAGAATATTTCAATACAATAATACAGAGACAGTTATTGAATAGACAATAGATCAATGGGCAAATGTTTAATTGTTCTCTTATTTTAGGCTGATCAAATTGTTTACATATAAAACATAAAACAAGCATCTAAAGAACAGTTTTAACTAGGTACATCTCTTGTCCAAAACTGGCCTCCTTTTCTCTTAAATCTACTATCACCTAGACCTACAAAACAGTCCTAGTTTACAAAGAATTTTAATGCAAACCTGTTTTAATTACAACCTACAAAATAAACCAGAAACTTTATTTCTTGCGATCATCGATCGTTCAAACACAGAAGTTGAATAAAGAAAGGGAAATTAATGTTCTACTTTTAGCAAAGTTTATCATTTATCATGTTTAACATCCTCGCTTTCATTCGAAAAGAAGAAAACGACATAAATGTTAAATGTTTGCGATTTTAAAAACAACACAACATAGAGGTGTTTTATGCAATCATGTTGTAAATACCCGTCTAACATGATATGTTAGTCCAAAAACCTTTAGATTTCATGTACATAGAACAATTTAAGGTAGCACCAATAGGTCACGATCACGAAATTCTTTGACTCTACACAACAGCACTCCAATCAGACTACACGAACACGCGATTGAACACGGATAGACAACGATAATCGTTTGTATAGGAAAGTATAATTACTGTTCGGTATGTGTCAAACGACCGCAGAGACCGATCGTGACAAAACCAAGACGCAAAAACAAAACTAAAACAGCTGGTTACGGACACGATACATCAATCATAGAAGCGCACACAATACCACAAAGTTTGTCACGTGCCCTTATTTACCTTATTGAGGATTACTTGTAAAGAGCATGTGTCTAGTTACGATGTAATGTCACAAAATCTAAAGTAAATATTTTAAAATTAGTGCATAAGATACTGACATCGACAAAGAATGATTACTAGGAGTTACGATCTAGTTAAACTGTCATCAATGATCAACTTCTGTCATCCATGAAGTCTATAGTTGAGATCTTGACTGCTGAGCCCTGATCGTGTATTCGATTCCCACCCAGAAAAAAATACTTGTTTTTTTTATGGCATAGGAGGCAAACCAGCAATGGGATCTTCTGGTGGTAAGTGACTACCACCGCACATAGACACCGTGTTAATCACAATTAATGTGATAATTATCATTCTTTTTTCATGTATCCTGGTGTAATTTATCTAAAATATCTACGTTTTAAGTATTAAATATGTTTATCAGAAGTCTGGCTTCAGGTTCGTCCTAATTTGGGATCAGACGTCGCTGAGGTTTATGTATGTATTGTATCGAGTATTCAGTATTGAAATATAAATTCTATATAAAATATAACATTGTGAAGAACCGAGTTAAATGCTACTACAAAGTACTTAATTATATATCCAAGTAATGATTATCTATTACTCAACTAGATCAAACCCATTGTTGGGACATTTTGTTACAACATCAGACAACATTATCAGTACTATCTAAACGTTTTGCGCAATCTTCGGCAATCTCATTGTCAAGTTGAACGATATTTTGACTCAATAACCCATGGATATTATCTATTCGGAGAATATGAATATCGTTTATAGCCTCAGGTTATGTTTTATGGATACCATTACCTGGTACAATTTGACTAGCTTTAACCTCAAATTTAAGAAGTGGGTGTTGATTTATTGAATGAACAGCAAAGGGTTTTGACTCTCAATTCCTCCCACCCGGTAAGTGGTTATTACACATAATGCAAGTACTTACGATATAGTTCAATGCACGGTAATAGTTTTTGAGTTTTTTGAGAAAAATTAACACATAAACATACATACACTCACGCATTTACCGCCTAAGTTATAAGCTATAATATAAATATGTATTAAATTATAGTTCACAAAATGTGAGCATTTTTAATACAACGCTCACATTTTGTAAACTATTACTAGTAATTTCCAAAAGCAGGACTACGACCATCTGTTGACACCATGACATAACTGCTTACGTGCAATACGCTTGATATATGCTAATTTATTGGTGATATTAAAACTTATAATTTTCAATACTCATAGACCTATTGATTCAGAAAGAAAAACGGTTGCAAAATTACAAATTGTAGAACAAGATATCAAAAGGAAGCCCCCTTTTCATTTTATATTTATATTCATACATATATTTATAATTGCACATTCTTTAGATAGAGACGAGTCTTATCGCAGCCTATACCCTGAATTCATACAATATAACATTATGTCATATACCATAAAACCTTTGAAGTCACTTTTTCTAGTCTGATAATTTTGACGTCATAATAGCTTAGAACATTCGTAACAAATTATATTTCAAGACGAGACATCAATTGTTGTGTTATTCACAAGACCTGTAATAAAACTAGTTTAACTTTTAATTTGAGTATCTAGACAATGAAAATTAAGCAATGTTTAACTAACATACGACAAACTAATTTATTTTTGTTATATTAGTATACTTGGTGTTCCTTATCTACAAACAGCACTTATCTATGTATTATCGATTTTTAGCCAGTCCTCAAACTGTGTCAGGGCCAAATTCTCGTGTTCTGTTATTAAAAATGTGAAAATATTCTCACAACTGCTATTTCTCCGAAGTAAAGCGTTTATAGAGAGTTATAGTAAACTACATATATCGTGTCTTTTTCAGCTATCGTGTTAGTAACCAAAAAAAAAATAACCAAGTAAAAAATTCCGATTGTACACTGCATTTTAAGCCATTAAATTTTTCTGAATGTATGCTTATATTTTTGAAGCCTATTGGTTACATGTTTTGGTTACAAACTCACTTGTTTCATTGGTTTTATGTGATATATAGAGCGTTATATAGTGCTTAAAAAACTATAACTTATCTCTCTTTATCACTCTCAATCGCTTCGGTAATTTTGTAATTTAAATTGCCAAATTGCATTAATTTAACAAAGGTAAGTACGTACGTACATTTTTCTTACAATAAATCATCCTTCAAATACTAAAACTCTTAAAACTTTTGTCAAAAAAATATCTTTAAAAAGATTATATCTGTAAGATCATCGGACGTCCGGTAGTTAACTCAGCGAATTTAACCTCCATTAGCCAATGTCAATTGACTTTCTCTAGACAGCAAATATACAAGCAATAAATGCTGATAAGACCATCATTTCACCTACCGTAGTAGTCGTTCGAATACCATTTGTATTCTATGAGAATGTAAAAGTATGTTATTGAAATAAAAAATCGGCAATCATTGCAACGCATACATAAGTCACAATAAGGCACTCTGCAGTCGTGACGGAATGAAAGTAAGTTTTAGTAATTAGGTCATATGCAGTTATTATGTCTATAAATATGTAAATACTGATATTAGTTATATAAGTAAAATGTAAAGAATACCAAAGATTATCTCACATGACCAACTTTCGATGTTCATGAACTAGTTGCATGTGTTTTCTTTGCGATATCAAATTGAATTCCAGGACAAAAATACTATGGATGTGTATACATATATAGGTATGTACAAAAAAACAAGGGTACAATTGGATCAGCAAAGCTACTATTAGATTTAAATTATATTATTATAGTAATTGGAGTACACAGTTTAATTTTAACTGTGTATTTAAGAGTAACTGCAAGGGAATATAGCGGCATGCGAAACAGACAAAGATGTATACTCGAATAACTAAAACTGTAAAGCTGTAACAAATAAGTACTTTACGTTAGCGCTTTTACGAACCTATTGGTTTAGTGATTAGTAATCCTGACTGCTAAGCTAGAGTTCGTTATTTCTATTCCCACCCAAGACAAATAATTGTGTGATAAGCACGATAACTTTTTCTGTATCTAATTCTGATTTATATGTATGGGTTAAGAAATGTATAAGCCTTTTTATCAGCAGTCTGTCGACCATACTACAGGCTCTGCCTAGTTTCATACTAGAGAATTTCTTGACCAATTTCTTAATGGTCTCTACTTTAGAATTGTTTTACACCTGTTTGATATTCAAAACTTCAATATAATTTTCCTTCCCCAAAATTTTCCATTTCATGACTACGTAAGTTCCTCGAGATAAGGGGGTTTTACTCTAAGGCTTGCACAAGATCTACTGGAATCCTCATCATATCAACAACGGGACGTCAAATCTATGCTAACATTCAGGGCCTCAATTCTGCTATTTTATGTTTACGCCAAGCCACTGTCATACCACTGACACGCTATTGAGATGCCATCGAGTGGCCATTGGCATCGGTATAAAGATCGGTAGTCTACACTAACTCAGTGACTATGGAATGGCAGTGGTTCATCAGTGGTGTTATCTAAAAGATTGCCATATTTGGAAAAATAAATAAATTATTTCCTCAAAAAAACGTAATAATTTTCAAATTATAAGGAAATGATTTATTTATTTTTGTGTAAGACAGTGGCTTGGCGTGAACATAAAATAGCAGAATTGAGGCCCAAAAGAAAATACGTACGTACGTATTTTCTTTTCATTTTAACCAATGCACTATAAAGCGCTCATGTCAAAGTCAAACAGTCTAACATATAAGCTATCAAGTACAATATTTATTGGAGTTAATTTAATAAAATAATTGTTATTTCAGTTCACTGCCGGTGAATCAGGTATATGTATTAAATTTGCATTTCAGTATTTCGCAGCGTAATTTATATAGGTAGTTGATTTTTAACACTTATGCAAAATTTGCTATCATTTACAAAAAATCATAAAGAGAAAATATATACGTTCTAGGCGAAAGTCCGATAGTTAAAAAACCATGAGGTACTTACCATATTGATTTTGCTGAGCACGTGATTTATCTGTTCCTTGCTGCACATTGTGATAGTTTGTAGTGTCAACTCCGTCGAGCAATCACATCATATAACTCACACTCATTTCTGTATGTCTTTTGCAAACGTCACTATAACATGCGATATCGTTAGTTTTCTTTGAGGCCACAATACTTTAACGTGATGATTTAATTAAAAATAAAAAAAAATACATAGAAAGTATAGTTAAATAACACACACTATGCTTCCGTTAGACCGGCCTACATTATGCTTCCTTTACTGTTTTTCTATTGGAAGTATCTGGACAGTAGGTTGTTACTTTGAGAGTACAAATACATGACTAAAATCAATTCCAATACTATCATATCTTCAAAATAACTCCTGTATTGGATATATATCACGGACACGCTGCAATAACTACCAAACAGTGTAATTAACATATCATTATCATTTGCTTTACAATTCTTAAACAAGTGGTAGCACACGGTGCAACACACTGATAACAATCAAATAAGTCAACCGATACGAATAATTACTTGGTGTAATGGATTTTACGAAACTGCAGTTGCAAAATTAAGTACTAGGTTTATATATTGATCAATAGAAGTGTCAATTTAATAGAATTATTCAAAACCTGCAATAGTATATAGCAACGTGCGTGCACATAGTTAATAAACAGTTCTGAAAAAATTACGGAATAATCGGTAGCAATATTAATTCCTGTTTGTTATTTGTACATGTATGAAATAAAAGAAAAGAACCGGACAAGTGTGATCCTGAATGCAAAACCAAGATAGTTCGTTGGTCTGGGAACTGCTTCTTTAAGACTTTTGCCCGTTTCTTTTTTGGTAAAACTTAATTTTGCCGTTCAAAATACCAATACACATAAATTTTTCCAATGCAAAACATAAATATGTCTTTAGACAGACAGACATACGGACAACGAACTGTACTTATAACAGTTCCTTTTAATTTGTAAAACGGAATCGTATAAGATAATGCAATACGTAGCCATGAAATTAAAATGTTAAAAATAGGCCAGTTCATGAACGGCGGCTGCAAAGATAGTTAACACATTTCACTTCACACATCTATCCCATGAATAATATTGCAGAGCGTCTGAAAGCTTATAACAGAGCGCACTAAACATGAAACAAATGTGAAACTCAAAATTGCCACACATATGTGCATTGGCTCTGTTAAATCGAGATTCGACAAAAAAACATTCGACATGTAAAAGAAAAACCTGATCCAAGTTATATGACCTACCTGGCATAAAACCACTTTAATTGTCACCTCGCGTACCTTCACCTATCACAATTAAATGCAAATTACTTGAAACGTGGCAACAGTGAAATCGCCATAAAAAGAACAATTTCACCAAATTCTTGCATATATTCTGGAAATATTGATGACAAATAAATTATAACGTTGTGATGAATATTAATGCTGGTTTACGACATTTTCGAATTAAATAGCTTTAAATGTAATTAAAAATTAGCATCATCACGGTTTATTGACATAGAAGGGAAAGATAAATGCGGTGCGAGGTCGATGAGGTCAGAACCGATGAACGGATCGATGAAAACAATTTGCCGTCAAAATTGCTTTTCTAAATATTTTATAGCTCTCTCCGCAACTCGTCTACAGAAGCTCCGTTCGTTTACATACATCTATCAAAGCTTAACACTAGTAGCAGTAGTTATTAATTATTGTGTGCCACTAACAAACAATAGTAGTACGAGACATGTTAAGTGCAATAAAAAAGGTCAAAATGTTAATCGAATTGACCAGCATTCGAGGCCATACAATGAAAGAGCAAGGCGACGGTAAAGGCTTTGAAAACGAAAGGATGTCCGTGGGCCTTGTCATACCTGTCTGATATTGGAATTAAACAAAAGAGACATAAGACCTTACATATGGCATTTACAACGGACCGGAATATTACCGGAAGAATCTATAATTGTCTTTTTTAATAACTTGCAAAATATAAAGTTCAAATAACAAAATCAAAAGACTGACTGACAAATCATTTGATTCCCATTTCAATATATTTAACTGTATGTATTTTCAATAAATTGTCTGTTTGACTTTTATAACACATTTATTATAAATTAAATACTGCTTATATTACACTAGCTGACCGGCGCAACTTCGTCTGCGTCTCTCAATAGTAATAAATTTTCTCCGTTTTTGAAACATTCTTCATTGGTGCTCCGCTCCTATTGGTCTTAGCGTGATGATATATAGCCTATAGCCTTCCTCGATAAATGGGCTATCTAACACTGAAAGAATTTTTCAAATCGGACCAGTAGTTCCTGAGATTATCGCGTTCAAACAAACAAACAAACAAACAAACTCTTCAGCTTTATAATATTAGTATAGATGTTCCAAGTACCAATTTTTTTTTTTAAATGACAACTCCCTAGGAATAAATCCTGTGTCGCGGGGGACTTTACAAACATACTTGAAACTGACACAAAGTACACCCAGACTCAGAACAACAATTTGTGGATCACACAAAGTGTCGTCCCATGTGGGGTTTGAACCCACAACACTAGGCGCAGTAGGAAGCGGCGTGGCGACTGCTTAAACCACTACGCCATCCGTGTAGTCAATTATCTACCAAATACACATCTGACCAACTTTTTGGCACCGACATCAAAAAACGAACACCTCGATAAAGTGGCAATCATTAATATAAACGCATAATCGTTGTTGCACAATTCTGAAATGAAATGTTTCTTTTTTATTCCTGATGTTACGTTGCTATCACAACCGGTTCAGCAACCAGACGGTGGGTCAGTATTTTTTAACTTTTTATATACATACCACAGAAAACGAGAGTAGCATACTATTGTGAGGATTGATAACCGACTGAGCAATTTCATGCCATTTTGAGCTTGCTTTTAGAAAATCTAATAGCGTTGATAGTTTCGTATGAGCGCTTTCACATCAAACTGTTTTATACATGGGACGTGGATACCGAAATGTATCGATTTATTATTTGATGTTATTTATACTTTTATAGCATTAATGGGATCACTAATTTAAAAAATAACTTTTTTACCGTCTTCAATGTGCCTTAATTATGATAAATTGTAATTATGTGTATTCTTCCTCCAATAAGTATCCAAAATTAATATTTTCTTTAAATTTAAATGGGACTAACATTGAGAACAGCCATTTTTTATAATTTAATTTAAAAAGCATTATACAAATCTGTTCACCAATGGCGAACATGTCGCGTAACATACACAAAAAAACTGACGAATTACGAAACTCCTCCTAATTTTTTTAAGTCTGTTAAAAAAAACTGTTCTGTTTGAAATTTGATACAAAATTAATTTGAAATAATAATATGTGCAAATGTGACATCTGGTCTGGACACAACGCCATCTAGTTCCAAACTAAGCAAAGCTTGTACTATGAAAATTGGATTGACTAATAGAATATTTATATAATTATATTTTTGTGAATACCTATACATATAATATACATTACATATCATCATCAGGCTATAGCAGTCCACTGCTGGACATAGGCAAATAAAACACCCAAACTCCGAAAAAAACATCTCGTACATACATTAGGTGCGACCCAGGAATCGAACCCGAGATCTGCATAGCAATCGCAAACGCTACCACTGCAGCACCGAGGCCGTCATTAAATCAGGGAATGTATTGTGTAGGACTAGATGCGTGCAAACACTTGCGTTAAACAAATTCGGCTGTTCACTTTCACTAAAGCAATACATGCCTTATAGACTAAAATGAAGGTCTTAGTCCTATTTAGGTCAACCGACACACGCATGTAAAACTTTCTTCATGTTCTTTAGCATGTTATTTTAATTAGCCACCTTAGCCATAACTGTTATTAGATTTTTGTAACTATTTAATTAATTACTGTTTATACATGTATGTATTTTTGTTGGTTTCAATATTCACATTGCGACTAACACTTCGGGGTTAATTATTTGTCAGCATATTTAACTGATAAACTGGCAACATGACATTATAAAATTTAATTCATTTTGTAAAGTGTAACTATGATATGATCAGTGATTGTGAAATTCTGCTGGTAGTTAATATAGGTGCCATGGTCTACGCTACGCATAAGGTTTGCCTAACAATGATAATGATATGTACTTGTAATTTTAATTAGAAATATGTTTGATGCTTGTGTTGTAAATTTATTTTCTAGGCAGAATACAATAATAATATACATAGAATGAAATTATTAATAGCTTCTATTAAAATTTTGAATGAGTCAACTAATTAAATTGAGATTTTGATATTACACATTTTTTTATTTTAACTGCATGTCTCGGAAACATTCAGAAGTTTTTTGTAATATAGTTGTAATTTTGGAACTTAGTATGATTATCTTGACACTGACTGCTTTTTGGTCCAGTGTTTAGTAATCCTGGCTGCTAACCCAGAAGTCGTAGGTGAGCACAATCAAGTTCTGCGTCTAAGTGTAATTTATCTAAAATATGTATGTATTTACAAATATTTAATTATGATTATCAGCAGTCTGGTTACCATAGTACAAGCTCCGCCTATATTGGGATCCGCTGGCCGTGTTTGAGATGTGTCAAGATATTTTTAGGATTATTATAATGATATATGAAGTACATGTAAAGTGAAATATCCTCATTAGTCTTTGAGAATTTGGCAATTTGTCATCCATATGATGGTGTAGGTACTAGTATTTGGATGTTGCTGTAATCTGTAATCTAACTTTTGTAAAACATTGTTGCGATATTAATATTGTAAATTTCCGTACCGTTTAATATTTCACTTATTGCCATTATTTCGTAAATTCTAATCTCGGCGTTTTTCGAGTTGGCAATTGTTATTATTGGATTCCACAAAGTAACATTGCTGCATAAAGAAAACCGCAGGTATGCCTAAATTGTTTACGCCTAGGCTTTCGTAAATTCATTTCGCCATTTCCAACTTACTTCAAAATTATTTTCATTAGATATGATTTATTAATCTCTTTAAATATTATAACTGTTAAGGGAACCAGTAGTCTAAAGAATT